CCCACACCCACACCCACGCCCACGCCCACACCCACACCCACACTGACTCTCACACCCATACACCCACACACCCACACCTACACCCACCCACACCCACATCCACACCCACGCCCACGCCCACACCCACACCCACACCCACCCACACCCACACCCCAACTTCTAACATAATAACCAACCAACAATAAAAAGAAGAAAAAGAAGAACATGAATAAACAGATTTATTTTTTTTTAGTTGAGTATGAACGCTATTTTGTTTAAGGTTCTTCCATATGTGATCCAAGATCAACACCGAAATCGGAGTGGGTGTGGGTGTCACAGTGGGAAGCCAGATGAAAAAATTGATTTGTGAGATCTAAAGCCATATCCTAGCTAGCATTAGAGCTACTATGACCCCGCATTAATCATGTAACTACACCCACACCCTCCAAAAGCGATTTTAAATAAAAAAAGAAAGAGCGTTCACGATACTGCATACAATTAATTATAGCCTTCCGTAGGGGTCGAGTCTGAACTAGCCTAAATGATAGAAGTATAACGAAGACGATTAGATTCAATCATGCACACAATATGTCACTTATCAAGCGTCTAATCGATTGCACTATACGATCAAGTAATCAATTTCTACGTGTCGAGAAACATTCTAGATGCTATTTTACGCAGAGTTTTTCAAATTTCACTATGAATAAAAAAATTTGTATCATAGAATACCGAATTAGTTATACGAAATTGAATAGAACTAATTAAAAAATTTGTTCTCATCGCTAACATCTAAGAAAAGTGTTTTCTATTGAAAACAAATTTAGACACAAAACTAAACTAAAAATGATCTAAAACAAAAAAAAATCATTTTTTTTCTCGTTGTAACTGAAATTATTTAATTTACATATTCTTAAACTTAAATCACTAGAATTCGTATTTAAACTAAATTATTTTACAACCTAATAAATTTTAAAGAACCCTAATAGGCAATTTTCGTCAGCAAGTTAATCACAATAATTTGTATCGCAATGATAAGAAAAATGAATTTGGTAAATATGTTGAAGACATTTCGGACCCGTCAAGTTGCTTACCTTCATTGAACTTCAATTATATATCAAATGAATAAGGGCCAATCTATTATTTAGACTGATTAAAATGACAATCGTCTGACGTTAAATCGTAGATTGTTGTCAGAAGGTCTATCCAATGTCGAATATTATCGAATCATATGTTCAAATCCACACATTGTCTCATTTTTTTTCTCGCTCTCCGACGGAATGGACAGACAAAATGGATTCGATATGATAGAGGCAAAGACGTCTCAAACTAAACCTGATAGGTAGTATGGACATTTTAAACTAGTCTTCAATGACGTCATCACTTAATTTTTGCCTACATGAGGAGTTGTCTTAATTCTTTGATTATGCACAAA